CACAAATGGGGCCATTCACGCAGCCCGGGGCTGGGGGCCCAGCCCTCCACCCCACGAGCAAAGATGCCGCGTCAGCCCCCAGCCGATGACTGGCCAGCCAGCATTCACCGGCACGTGCTCTCCGCAGCTGCCGCATCGGTAAGCTCCTAAAGCCCCATCGGCAGCCTGTGCCAAGGTGTCCCAAAACCCGAGACTATCAGAGGCCAGAGTCCGTGATGCTGCCGCTGTATCAGGACTTACTTCTCTCTGTTGAAGACAATGAAGTCCCTCTGGAGCATCTCTAGGTGCTTTTGAAGATGGCAGGCCTTTCACATTCAAACAGAAAAATAAAGAGATGGGGAATAAATTCACAGTTGACACAGAAAGACATTGCAAGGACAATTTCAAGGAGATACAGCGATATCTTTAGGTACAGAGCACCTTTCGCACTGCAGTGGGGAGGATGGCATTAAGACTCTCCTCTCACAGAAAGCCCGTGGGCATACATGCTGCCTCCCACCCAGGAAGATGCGGAGGAGTCTTGGGAATAAAGATGGTCACAAGGGAAAAAGTGGTCTATTTAGACAAGTTTGCTGTGGTTTTGCCAGATGGCAATGGGCTTTCTTGGAAAATGAGAGACTTCCTTGACCACATGCTTGTACCTCCTTGCTCTCACCTGGGAGGAACTGCTTTTGCTGGTGTCTTTCTCCTTCTTCGCCAAGCGCTTTTTTTTCTTGTGAAGAGGTTTGGATTCCAGGATCATTTCTTCCAGTTCAAAGGTTGGGTCACAGTTCAGTCTGCCTTTCTGGAGGGGAGAGAGAGGTGGCCTTAAGTGATCACAGCCTGTCTTGAAGAGTCTCTCATAAATTGGACCGCATCTGGGAGCTGAATTTTGTAAAAAATAAACTAATTACAACTACACACATAGCCAGAACACCTGCTGTGCTTCTTACATATTTTATCAGTTCCCTCAGCCAGGGGACATTGTCAAGGTGTGGCAATTGCTCTTTTTTGTGTTCACTGCTTCTTACTCAGCCCTTCGGCTGCTTCCAAGTGACGGTGAGGATGGGACGGTGTGGCTGGGCTGGGGGGTTGCACAGCAGCCTGCACACCTGGGTTTAAAGCCAGACACGTATACCCACCACAGAGAAAACCAGCAACAGAGGGGGAAGATCCATACAGTTAACAAATATTTACAGCTTAGCCCAACTTTTGTTTATCTGAAAAACAGAGTAACTCTGCACACATCAATCCTTGGATTATTTTCCATAAAGGTTATTTTACTTCTGTGCTGCTTTAAGCCAATTAAAAAAGGATCAGAAACACTAATCTACTGTATTTGCTGTATTTGTTATTTTACTTTGAACAATGGGCTTGTTAGGGAGAGTCATTACAGGAAGCAACAATTATCACAAAATGGCAGGGGATCTCCGGGCGGCTCACGAGCCCCTGTCTGCTCGCTGGTTTGCGGCGCTGGAAGAGCCGTGCTGCTAGGAAGGGCGGCTCAGCGCAGGACGGCTCACCAGCACGGCCAGCCCGTGGTTCACCTGGCGTACCTCGGGCAGCCCGGAGCGTGTAAGGCCAGTTCTGCCTCCAGAAATTCCGGGAATATTATAAACAGAGCAGATCAATTTTGGGGCACCCACACGTTGTAGTCTTCCCCCATTACTCTTTGTTACACCCACAGGAAAGTGAAAATTGTGCTCTTGCCTCTCTTTTCTCCTGTCCCTTGTGACACCTGATGCTCTTGTGGAAGGTTGTAAGAAGCTCCCACGACCTGGTGCCAGGCGTGAGGGCAGGCTGCAGTGTGTAACACTCGGGCACATCGAGAACCTTTTAAAATCAAATTGCCTTACCATGGGAATGAATTCTGGCATGATCCTCTTCTGGAGGACAGCATCCCAGTTCACATCTGACAGATAGGGAAAGTCCTGGACATCTTTCAGCTGAGAAAAACGCTTCTCAGGGTTCAGCTCAAGCAACTGCAGAGAGAGTTAAATGGAAAAGGTGAGAAAGCGAGACCCTGAGATGCCAAATCAGAGATTAGGTACCCACAGCACTGTCCGTGGCCAAGTTACACCAGGTAACGGCTGGGGCAGTGACACGACCGTCGGACTTTTCTGTGTCTCCCATTCAGTAGCTCCTTTTTGAAAAGGAGCCGGTTTTGCTGGTAGCGGGCCTGACTGCTGGAGGGAGCTGGGAAGCATGGCGGGCTGCGGTGACAACGTGCAGTTACAGGGCCCCGGGGATGGTGTTCCAAACAGCTTTGCTGTCGGTAACGGGAGGCAAGTGCCAGTCTGGGCTGGACCTCGGGGCCGGCCGTGCCTCACCCGGCGACGGGGAGCAGCTGCTGTCCCATGGCTGGGGCTGGCAGCACCCAGAGACACCGTGCCGAGCATCACACCCCGCTCCCGCCCCATCGCCATCCCGCCCCACCGCTGACACGCTGCTGAACAGGCTTGGGTGCACGGCGCCGGTGACACCGCATCAGCACCGTCACCTTGAGCTAGTGACACTCTGCGGTTGCTCTGGCTCAGGTTCCCTTCACCAGCACACGCGAGGGGCTTAGTATTTATTCTCATTTTTACGAACAACTTTTATACCCATTTTAGGAGCAGGTGATGAGGCAGCATAGTGACATTAATCAATTTGCCCAAGGCTAAAAATAAGCGTTTGCTTCAGAACGGGGAGTTAAACTCATGCCTTTGTGTTCCCTGTTTAATACCATACCAGTAAAACATCCCCTGTTTTCTCAGTCTAGTAATGGAATATTCATAGGTACAATTCCAGTGTGAAATACTGGATTCACACTGCTTACTTTCAGCATTTCTTTAATACTGCTGTAGGAATTACTTGCATGGAAGGAAGTGATTGAGGTTTGCCTCTGGAGTTCACAGATTCTTCGCATAAACTCCTGACAGCACACGCTCTGAGAACCGAGCAGGAGAACCGGCTGATCCCAACCCTCTGGCAAGCGGTGGATGAGGCCCCCCTCGCCCCCCGTGCAGTGCTGGGTGGGCAGCGAGGGCTGCGCAGAGCGTGCGGCACACAGACAGCCCTCACACGTCAGCTCTTCTGCCAGAGCTCTCTGCTCCACGCCGGACGCGAGCAATGCTGCTCTGCTAGAAATGATCATTTACCTTGAACGTTAATAAATACAAAAATTCACAGGAGATGTTTGAGCCATGACAGAACCACAGCTGGCCTCATATATAATGCATCTGGCTGTTAAACCAGATGCAAAGGGGCACTGGGAAATGTAAATAACAGCGACGTTGCATTATTTATTCACAAGGGAGCCTGGATGGCTTGCAGCATGTTGTGGTCCAGGGAAGAACTTCCAACATAACAACGCAGAAGACATCTGCAGTAAATATCCCTATATTACTGTCAGGCTTAATGAAATATTAGGTCCATTTAATTTTAAGCAAATGGAGATACTCTTCAATTATCTTCTTGGAAAATACGCCATGATTCTATCTCAGCAAAGTATCGATGTCATTATCTCAGTGTTTCGTCAGAGATGACAAAATTACTACTACATACTATTCAGAACAAAAACCAGAGGAAAGCTACATTAAGTACTACTTTATTGCCTACACTTATTTGAAAATTAGAAAACTATTTACATTCCCAAATTTGCAGCTAGTGCTGTTATGCAGGGTTCAGTATTTCAGCTTTGCTGCCATTGTATGCAAACAGTGTCCGACACTGTCAAGCAATGGTTTTGCTTATTGATGATATGGCTTCACTTCAAATATGATTTCAGCATCAAAATGATTCCAGTAACTATTTTGAAGCAATTTTGGTAACAGCTTTGTTAAAAATGTTATTACAGTGGTGCATAAACCACTTAGCATGAAAGGATTTCAATAGTATCAGCACTTCTTGCAAAATTTTTTCACTATTGGGAAAAATATATGTTTTTTAAATTTTGCAATTTTTTTGCCAAATTTATTGATGCACATATTAATATCTACTTCTAAGCTATGTCACTGCAGAGAGACAAAGTTATAGGAGAAACTCTGGAAGCAAAGACTGCACATGTGTTTAGGAGAGATGCATTAGCAGGGGCCGCACTTGCCTGCACAAACTTCATCCCCACCAGTCCAGGATGCAGCACTGCGAGCTGGTTACTGCATCAGTGTGGCTACAACACTAAAAGCTGGATATTTATCACACAGTACCATCTGAAGGTCACCAGCACCGGGTCTGGGCACTATTCGCAACGACTCCCTGCGATTCACTGCAACGCCCGACGGCAGGACTCGGCTGCCTTCCGCAGGCGCCCACTGCAGCCCTCCGGCCC